CGACAGCAGAGAAACAGACCCTTTGGTCCAAGCTGACCAGGTATTCTAAACTGAACTAGTTCCATTTGACTGCATTTGGCCCATATCCCTCTAAACCTTTCCAATTCATGTGCCTGTCCAAATATCTTTTGACGGTTTTAATTATACCCACCTCTGCCACTTCCTCTGGCAGTTCATTCCATACATGCACCACCTTCTGGAAAAAGTTGCCCCTCGGGTCCCATTTAAATCTTTACCCTCTTACATTAAACCTCTACCCTCTCTAGTTTTGTACTCCCCTACCCTTGGAAAAATACCTTGGCAATTCAGCTTATCTATGTTCTTGATTTTCTAAACCCCAAAAAGGCCACCCCTCTGCTTCCAATGCTCCGGGGGGGGGGGGGGGGAGTCTCAGCCTCTCCTTATTACTATGATATGAATCATAGCTCCACAGTTATAAATTCAGGCAGGTCAACCATCTATTTTTCTGTCATTTCATCCAACTTGTTCAGCAGGACCTTTGCTTCATAGAAGAAAAGATTAATTGATTGATTGACCAGGCCCCAGCTTTTCTGCTATACATTACAAGAAAAACTGCATGTATAAGGAACGATGTTATGCTTCTGATATGCAAGGCATTGGTGTGTTTAGATTCAGTCTTTTTTTGGTTTGCTCATTCATCTCAAGAGCTTTTTGTATTCTACATTTTCTTCTCGCTCTTGAGAGAAATTTTACCTATTCATAGATTATCTGGCTATTCTTCTCGTACATTCCTCCTTTTAATGCCTTTTAGTGCTTTCTTTTCGTGTTTGCCTGCTGCATAGCTTGTGTAGCTTAATCTGCTTCCTGTTGGTATTCTTCCCAGGTTAGAGTCACCAGTTTATATGGACTAATATTTCCTCTCCAAAACAATTACAAATAATTCCTTTACAACTGATGCAAATTTCCAAAAGGTCCCTTTCAAGCATTTTTAAAAACAATTGCAGATTCTCCAAATATTTTAATGTAATTATACATTTCATAACTGAAGCTGCTTCTGGGTCAAAGATCATCACACCATTTCTGAATTCGAGTATTGTAGGGAATGACAAAGTGGTATCTTTTTTAAAACAGGATACAATAACATTTTGTTTTAAATGAATAACTTTACCATTTTGTGTGATCTCTTGTCTGCAAATGGGTCCACTGCCACAATGGTTTTTAGCACAGTGACAAAGTTTTTTTCATTTTGCTGTTTCAAGTTGGTGCTTTGTTTTCTCATTGGAGGCCTTTAATAACTGTTAACTTTCAGCATTTCAAAGTTGCTTGATTTGAATTTAACATCAGAAACTGCCTTTTCGACCGTGCTAAATTTAAACTTGTAGAAGTCTGTTGTTCACTTTCTTACATTGATTCATGAAACTGTTTCAATCCAAAACAGATCTCAACAAATGGCTTTGTATAGTTCCAATCTGTTTGTTTGTTTTTAGTCTTGTGTGATTTATTAAACTTCTGTCTGCAATCTTAGATCTCAGCCTAATCATGCATCCCCTAAAAATACAGTCCTGTCTGATGTTCTATTTTTTTTGAACATGCTTCTGTCATTTGAAGCAGGTTGTGGCAACAGGATGTTGATGTTTCCAAAACCCATGGTGATTGGATCACCATGTTCCAAAGTATGTGCATTAGCAATAAACTATATGCACCATATTTTTTAAATGGCTTGAGATTTTAAATCATTGACTGTCAAGATCGCTGTTGAACCAGGAGAAGTTCTTCAAAAAGGTCTTGCAATCCAACTATTTACACGTAGTAATCATTTTATATGCACCTTCAAAAGGTGGTGATGATCTGTTAAATGATTTGTTAAATGAAGTGTTCCATTTAGGACCATGTTCCGGTTCATCTCAAAACCAGCAAATTTATTTAAAAGTAAATGGCCTATTTCATCAAATTTGGCAGACTCGGGAGGAGAAAAATGTTGACAAACCTTGATGTATTGCTCTTTTCACTGAGTTTTGCCTGTGCTCTCCTACCTGCAATTTCTGACACCACATATATTCAGTTAATAAACTCTTGGTGCATGGCCAACCTCCTGTAGTCTTTCCTTCGGGTGTCAATAGCATCTTATTCTTTTTCAGTTGCTGATTTGATTCAAATCTATTATGGTGAAACTGGAAAGTTTGGACCTTGCTGCACTGTGTAACTTGGCAATATAGAACATTTCAACCCTCAAATGAGCAGTATCACAGATCTGAACATATCATGATTTAGAGAAATCAGAGACATTGAGCAGAAATGACAATAAAATAGGGATTATTTTTCCCATGTGACCAACGGTGTACCACAGGTATCAGTGCTGGGTCACTGCTTTTCGTCATTTATTTAAACGATTTGCATGTGAACGTAAGAGGTATGGTTAGTAAGTTTGCAAAATTGACACCAAAACTGGAGCTGTAATCGATAGCGAAGAGGGTTACCTCAAAGTACAGCGGGACCTTGAGCAGATGGGCCAGTGGGTTGAGGAGCGGCAGATGGAATTTAATTTAGATAACTGAGAGGTGCTGCATTTTGGAAAGGCAAATCAGGGCAGGACTTATACACTTAATAGTAATGTCCTATTGTGTTGCCGAACAAAGACACCTTGGAATACAAGTTCATAGTTCCTTGAAAGTGGAGTCCGAGGCAGACGGGATAGTAAAGAAGGTGTTTGGTGTGCTTGCCTTTATTGGTCAGTGCATTGAGTATAAAAATTGGGAGGTCATTTTGCAGCTATACAGGACATTGTCAATACAGTGTGGATCTTGAGGAACACAGCAAGTCAGGCAGCATCAAAGGAGCAGGACTGTCGACGTTTTGGTTTACACCCTTCATCAGGGCTGATGAAGTGTGTAAACCTGAAATGTCAACTTTGCCACTCCTCTGATGCTGTCTGACCTGCTGTGTTCCTCAAGCTCCACACTGTATTGACTCTGACTCTAACACTTGCAGTTCTTGCTATCTCCAAGTGACACTACAGGACATTGGTTAGGCCACTTTTGGAATACTTTGTTCAATTCTGGCCTTTCTGCCATTGGAAGGATGTTGTGAAACTTGAAAGGGTTTAGAAAAGATTTACAAGGTTTTTGCCAGGGTTGGAGGGTTTGAGCTATATGGAGAGGCTGAATAGGCTGGGGCTATTGTCCCTGGAGCGTCAGAGGCTGAGGGGTGACCTTGTAGAGTTGTCAAGGTACTTTTCCAAAAGTAGAAGAGTCTAAAACTAGAGGCAGAGGTCTAAGGTGAGAGGGGAAAGATTTAAATGGGACCTAAAGGGCAACCTTTTCACTCGGAGGGCTGAGTGTATGGAATGAGCTGCCAGAGGAAACAGTGGAAGCTGGTATAATTATAAATTTAAAAGGCACCTGGATGGGTCTATGAATAGGAAGGGTTTGGAGGGATATGGGCCAAATGCTAGCAAATGGGACTAGATTAATTTGGGATATCTGGTCAGCACGAATGAGTTGGACCGAAGGATCTGTTTTCATGATGTACAGCTTTGATTCTAAGAGACCAACTCGTTTTTTTTTTAATCATTCACTTGTGGGACATTGGCATTACTGGCCGAGTTAGCATTTATTGCTTGTCCTTAGTTTTCCTTGGGAGAGTGGTCATGAGCTGCCTTCTTCAACTGTCGTGGGTGGAGTAAGCTTAGGCTTCCACGTCCCTGGAAAATTAACAGCTGCCCCATTTTCTAATAAGTATAGTTGTAGATTAATGGAAATGTGACTCCTGTCTAGCAGCAATGTGGTTGATTCTTTCTTAATCAGTCAAGTGATAATTATGGTCTTGAGTGACATCTATCATTTGCCCACTGCTTCAGCTTCTCATGCAGCTCTGTGTTGTTTGACTGCCAAAAAAGAACAGCATCAAATGGCCATCTCTAGCAAGTGCATAAAACAATATTGATTGAAGATATTTACTTTTCAGTGTATTTAGTTGCCTTGCCATGTCTGAGATTTTATATCAAAGTAAAATTTAATCTTGTACACATTAGAGGAATTTGACAAATTTTAACAAATTATTTTTAAGTGGAAATTGGTGCACATTAATTCATCCCTGTACCAAATATAGCTACCCTTCATATGTATTTTTATGCAAATAATTAACTGTAAATACTCCTGACAGTATTTCATAAAAACACTCCAATAATTCCAGATAAGTGGGATCATTCGATAAATAGTAGTTCTGGCCAAAGTGATAATCTTAAAAAATAGTGTTACTGACAAAATACAATGGAAGAGTTCTTTTGGGGTATATTATCTTCTGTTTTACTACATTTTCTGGCTTCACTTTACTGCAGCAATGAGGATCCCTCTGCATGAGGATAACAGCTGACTTATTTTGAGTACGCTTACTGGTGCATTGTAATTATTTACTTCCAGGTGTATATAAGTGGTTGGTGTAATTCTTCCACGATATGTCTAACTCTCTGCAGCATGGGGAATGAGGTCAGTTCACCGAAGTCTGTTACAGCCATTTGTCTGATTCCACTGATGCTGTAACATATGAAAAACCCTCAGCGGTTTAACATTTTTAAACACACTCAATCAATATTTGATATTATACAGTTGGTCTGGACAGACTCTCAACTGAAAGGATAATTTAAAACCATCTCCCAAAGAACCAATGCAAAATTATCTTCAAACGTGCATACAAATTTGGGAAAAGATTTTTCAGTTTTGTTTCCCCAGATGCATTTCCATACAATGGTAGTTTGCTGCTAAGCACCTGAATCTGGATATTTTACTGGAGTGGTCTTAAGACAGATGTAGTTCTAATTTTTGACGTTTTTCTCACTAGTACAGTATGTCATGTTCCAGTGAGAGAACATCTGTTCAATTAATCAAGTTTAGTGTTATTAGTTCAAGTATATATGTTGATGTGTTAGTTCATTAAAAATGAGATAAATAAGATTTATTAGAAAGTTTTTAAAAAAAATTTCCTGTCCTACAGGACAGGTATTTCTTTTTTTTACCACTGTTTTCTGACCCTTCACATTATAGAATTCTTCAGATGAGACAGCGCAGGAAGATGACAAGGTCCTAGTAACAGAGAAAGTAAGTTCCATCCCAAACAATCTATTAAATATTCTAGGTGTTTTGTAAACTAGGTTAAGTGGTGATTTCAGTTAATCTGTAGAACACAGTGTAGATACAAGTATAGCATGAAACATGTGTTCCATGGTTTATTTGCTTGCTTAATTTAATCAGATGTTGCATGTAAGTACTGATTTTGTGCTCTCCAAAATTTGAAGGTTGCATCTGAACAGTTTCCCTCAGGTCGAGTGTAAGACTATATAGATATGCAACTTGGTTCTTTATAGATAGTTCACTGATTTCCTTATGAGATTGCATGTATATTAATAACATGACTAGGCTTGCTTCATCAGTTCTCCACATGATATTTTAGAGAAGATCTACCAATATTGAATGTAGGGGACATAAATGAAAACCTTTAGTCAATAAGTACAATATTTATTGTTGGTTCACTAATTTTTAAATTATTTTTTAAAAGTCATTTTCATTTCTGCCCTGCTGCCTAAGGGCAAAAATTCATACTGAGTCTATTTCACTGGTGGGTTAAACTGTGAAGGCACAAGTGATGTAAATTCTTTCTAAGCATTGGTCTTTTTAGTAGAACTAATTGTAATTACTTAGGTTTGAACAGTGTTCTGCTGTCTCTCTCAACTTCCATGAGGGTTCTTAGTAATTTCAACTACACACTTCCTTTTGTTCCTTTAGCTGATTAATGAGTATTTATTGAAATAACAACAGCAAAACTATCAATAGTTCACCGTCACTACTCCACTGTAACTGATAGCAGCTTTCGCGCTTGCTGGGAATAATGTGAAAAGCCGTTGTCAGTGATCCTTTCGTTCTTTCTCCAGAGGTTGTGCTTTTGGAATGTGCCTCCACCCCCTGAGCACTGCAGTCAGTAGGAAATATCATGAATTTGAGAAATTTCCCTATTGCATTGTTTTTGCTATAACCACTCTTGCAGGGGTGGGGGGGGTGGGGAATGCATCTTATTGCATTGAGGTGGAGCTGGGCTTCTCATAGTATGTTAACTTCATTAATTACTGATAAATGCATGCACTGGTTTTCAAAAGTTCATTTTATATTTGTAGAATGTTAAATTTCATATTAAAAATGTTTGTTTTGCTTTCTATCGAAATCCAATCATGCATACTTTGCCACCTGAGAATTACAACTAAAAGTGAAGAGTATCACGTGCTTTTAATTTCTTGGTTTGCTGTGTTTGCATACAATGCGATTGGCTGGTAACTGCTTGCTGATAGTACTGCTGCTGTACACCATGCTATGCCCTTGACTTGGTACCAGATCTAAATTCTTGTTGGAAAAAGGAAAAAGCGTGCCACTATGGTTGCTGGATTATGAATGGCACTTTCTTCAAGATGAACAGTGAGCACCATTGATTTGCTTTGACAGTGATTGCAAAGTGGATTAACAAAAAAGCAAGTGTCCTCATCAGTGTAATAAAATGTAAAATATAAACTGGTTGATACTTTGCGTTCCTACTCTAAATGATTATGCATACAAGAATTGTGCTCAAGTTTCCCTCTTCAGAGGGAGTCTCTTATCATTCCAAAGGAGGCAGATAGTAAGGTAAGGCTGAATATCTGTGTGGGAGCAAATCTATGTAGATCACTTCTCCTCCTTTCTGAACCTGAATTCTCAGACAAACAATTGCATATTGTTTTATTTGCTTATCATTCATAAATTTGTTTCTTACACACCATCTAATGGAAGATTGAGGGGTTTTATTGGAAGGTAACCATCAGCAATGTATCTGCCTGCCTCTCAGTTCTATCACCCATGAGATTACAAGACCATTTTGCATTATTTACGTTTGTTTTAAAATTTGAGTATTGCAGTAATTTGAGATGCTCACAAGTCACAGAATCCCAATAGAGTGGAAACAGGCCATTTGGCCCAACAAATGTACATCGCCTGTCCAAAGAGCATCACACCCAAACCCATCGCCTTACCCTTTCCCTGTAACTCTACATTTCCAATGGCTAATCCACCTAATTTACACACCCCTGGACACAGAACGCAATTTAACATGGCCAATCCACCGAACCCGCACGTCTTTGGACTGTGGGAGGAAACCAGAGCACCTGGCAGAAACCCATGCAGACACTGGGAGAACGTGCAAACTCCACACAGACAGTCGCCTAAGGGTGGAATCAAACCTGGTCCCTGGTGCTGTGAGGCAGCAGTGCTAACCACTGTGCCACCCTATAATACAAATTACATAACATGCTGTGTCTTGGATCGGTCACTTCCTAATTAATTTCCAGTGGACTTGGAACAACCTAGCTTAAAATTAATGGAATGTTTTTGCTAATCCCTTTTTTGTAACATAACTTCCTAGATTTCTAAACGTGAACAATGTTTTAGTCAAGAATTGAGAACTAATCTGATAAATGTGACCATGCTGCAGGGTTAGACTTGCACTTAAAAATCACACACAAGTTATGGGGCAAAGACAGCAAATCCTGTATTGCATCACAGTGCTGACTGAGCTTAGGATAAAGCAGTCTTCATAATTGCATTTAGAACAGTAATGGCTTTGTTGCAATGTTCATTGAACTATAAATGTTGAAATTGTACATTTTTAAACCAGTACCATATTCTTATTCTTTTGTTAGTTTCTTGTTCTCCCTGATAGGATGGGATGATGGCTTTTATTGCTACATTGTACTTTGTTTTAAACTGCAGTGTGCTGTAATATTGCCATCAGATTTTTGCTAGCTTTCTTCCTTCACTTCTCTTTCCCTTTCTCCTCCACTGCTTAACTGACTGGGAGTTTATGTTAAGGTCTAGTAACAAACTCCTGTCCATTTTCTGATATAGTGCATTGATATTTCACTCAATAACTAAAGTTTATATGTGGTTAAACAGGTTCTTTAAAGTGTTATATCTAGAACTTTTTGTTCCTGTCCTTTTGAGTGGAAAGGACTTGGACAACTTAATGTAGAGATGAAGTGATTTTTTTTTTAAGCATTCAGTAGAATTCAACAGTTTTAATTACATAATTAACCAAGTATTAAGCATTTTTCTGGCTTCAAGACAGAAAGCAGAGTTGGGAGTAAAAGCTAATTAACCCATGTGACAGAAGGTGGATCATTCTGTCAGGATCCGAGCTAGGATGACTGTTTGCTATTTATATTAGCAGTTTTCAACGTTGACGTAAACACTTTCTAAGTTTACAGATGATGCCAAACTTCTTTTTTGGAGGGGAGGGTGGCAAGAAAGAATTGTGAATACTGAGGAGGACTGCCACAAATTCTAAGAAGTTAACTTTCAGGATGAGCATGTAATTAGCCAAATAGAGCTAATATATGTAAATATGAATTTTTTTTTTTGTGAAATGTAATGTTATATAGAAAATGGGACTGACAGCAAGGTGGTGGATCAAAGGGACCTTGAAGTTCTAATATGTAAATCCTTAAAAGTGAGGATGCACGCTTACTTTTCCTGGTCTTTTTTAACTTGTTGTTAGAGGTTATTTTTAAGAGGGAATTGACAGAATAACTTGACTTTATTAGTTCAATCCTTGGTCAACATATCTGGAATAAGTTCTGATTACTGTATATAAAATAAGGTACAGAGGCATTGGAGAGTGTGTTTTTAAAGATTTGAAGATACCACGAGTAATGTAGGCTTTTTCTTCCCCTTTTCAGGGTGCATCTCTTGAACAGAGAAAGATGAAGAGTCTTTAAAGCTCTGAAGGATTTTGTTAGAGAAGGCAGGGCATGATAGTATTTCAGTTTGTGGGAAAGAGCAAAACTGAAGGCCATCAATATTAGTCACCAAGAACTCCAATAGACAATTCAGAAGGAACATATTTACTGAGAGATTGGTGAGAATTTGGGACATTCTACCATAGGGAGTGGCTGAAGCCATTAAAATAGATGTATGAGGATGAAGGGAACAAAAGTTTCTGCCAAATAGCTAGATGAGAGAAGACGTGAGCATAAAACTGCATAATGGGCTAGGGCTAGAATGACTGACGTTTCTGTGTTCTATATTCATTGTTGTTCCAAGTCAGTATGGTGAGTGGCTTGGATGGGAGCACTTGCAAGTTCCCAGGTATGCCCAGGCTGCCCTTATCTTTCTAGTTGAAAGTGTTTGTTGTCTTTGAAAGTGCTGTGTTAAGAATTTTTGGAATATTTTTGCAGTGAATCTTGTAAGTTGTACACCCTACTGCTACCTGAGTGTCAGTGGTACATGAAGTGGATGTTTGTGGATGTGGTGCCAATCAAGTGGGCTGCTTTGTCCTGGATGGTTGCAAACATCTTGAGGGTTGTTGGAGTTGCACCCACCCATCCAGGCAAGTGGGAAGTATTCCATCACGCTCCTTGTAGATGATGGACAAGTTTTGCAGATTCAGGCAGTGAGTTACTCACCGCAGTACTCCTAGCCTCTGCCATGCTCTTGTAGCCACTGCATTTGTGGCAGGTCCAGTTGAGTTTCTGGTCAGTGGTAACATCAAGGATGATGATATTGAGGGATTCAGTGATGGTAACACCTTTGAATGTCAAGGGATGGTGGTGAAATGGTCATTGCCCAGCATTTGTATGGCATGAATGTTATGTCATTTGTCAGCCCAAGCTGGACGTTGTCCAGATCTTGTCAAATTTGAACTTGGACAGCTCCAGTATTTGAGCAGTCACAAGTGGTGCTGATCATTGTGCAATCATTGCACATCCCCACTTCTGACCTTATGATATTCTAAGCAATAACATTTTTAATATTTCTTAGTTTCGGTATTTTAAGCTTGTTTTGCAGATTTTCCTGGCATACAGTTTATTCTATATAATGCATTGTGTTCACTTAATAGGAATATTTTGCATGATAATTGGTAGCCCCCATTTTAAATTTGCACTGTACTGTAGCAGATTAATGCACCATACAATAGTAAGACTTGGGTTTATACAGTATGAAACGTTCTTTTTTTTTTTTTGAAACCAAATATAGTGTAGTTCTAAAAGTTTGAGTCTGCTCGTTCTTGGTTTCAATTCAGGTTA